GCTTTCAGTGCTATCCGCGATTACAACATCAGAACAGAATCTTCCATATCTCATGGAACAATATAGTATCAACTCTTGTCATATTAATAATGATGTTGTTACATTTATCGGGATTGAGGGGTAATTCAAAACATCGTACATGCAGCATACAACTGAAACTTTATTATATGGTCTGGTGTATAGGCCGGTTAATCAACGATTATGAATACATATTCACAATGTGAATGATATCCAGACAATCAGCATCATCAACCTAGCAGCCTACTCTCACAAGTAACAATTATTGTACATTATCTTTGCAACATCACATCTCGGTATCGTCGTTCTCGTCCAACCGCATGCTTTCATTACTGTGACGATGTCGTAGATGGCACCATCAGTTGAAAAGACATGTCACACCTGGAGATTGTTCCAGCGTGTTTACCATTCCGACATTTTGATCAAATATTTTACTCACCTTGTGTGGCTATTGGTAGAAGTGTACATAAAAGGAACGTTCTACTGTGTTCAGTAACGTCACAACTGTTACATTCACATCATCTGTTTGGTAACAAATCGCTGTATGGACACAGCCACTATACCATATAAAGTTAACTATACACCAATACATGAAACACATGAATGTCTACGCTTTCTCACGTTTCGAATTTTGATAGCTAAATCATAAAGACATCTGACGCAACAGTTTCTGAAGTTCATTGCTCAACCACCCCTAGAACGAATAACCTCTGCCAGTTTCCAAATCATACTGGCAGCCACTCCTCATGAAATGCCTGATACAGTTCCTGCTGATTTTGAACAGGAGGATCTCTAACTTGAACTTGGCTTCCAAGATAGTCCCAAAGATGTTCAATTGGAGTTCCATCTAGTATCTTGTGGTACTGGTAATGTTGTTCTACAAATGGACGATGACGGCTCGAGAACATTAGGTCTTACATTGGCATTGTTATCGGATGACTGTTAAGAATGTTGTTATCAACATTTGGAAATGTCAAAATGCAACCTAACACTATTTTTGAACCAACACCAAAAAGTTCAGATGCATAAATCATCTCCTGGTGATTTGCGCCGTTACCACGTCTCCATACGTGACATGCAGAAGATGGCGACTTTCGTCAAACCAGTGAACCCTCGCCATATCCTCAAGTTGCGATTTTCTCAGAGCCTGCACCACGCCAGTCGTTCGCCGTGTCCTTCCTGCGTATAACTGTCTGTGTAGAAGGAATTTCTTGTAATTTCAATTATTGGTATATTTTTGTCAAAAGTTTAATTTTTCTTCCCGTTTCTCCCATTACAATTTTGAGTATTTGCTCATTTGTTCAGGATTCTTTCATATACTGGAAAATTCGAATTTACAGGCAGATCACTCGTGACTGATGTCGATGTCGACGCCGAAGTGATGTTCCGTTAGACTCATTGAAGCATAGTGCTCATGCGTTAGAGTGCATGCGTTAGAGCAAAACATTCATTGAAGCATAGTGTTACATGCATTAGAGCAAAACATTCATTGAAGCACAGTGTTACATGCATTAGAGCAAAACATTCATTGAAGCATAGTGGTACATGTGGTACTTGCGCTAGAGCAAAACATTCATTGAAGCATAGTGTCACATGCATTAGAGCAAAACATTCATATAAACTCTCCTCTAGTTCTCCACATGAGCGTTCTCTGCTGCAGCCCCCTATCTCTGGAACATTCTACCACTCGCGCTAAAAGAAATAGAATCTGCTGGCGCTTTCAAAACTGCCCTCAAAACTCATCTGTTCAAACTCTCTTTTCCAGAGACATTGTCTACAGTCTTTTCTCTTTATAGCGCCATTTCTTTTGGAAATAGGCGCTCTATAAATCAATTATTATTATTATTATTGTTATTACATACACTGTGTATTCCAAACCATATTTATTACTCAAAGACAAACTCGCGTCAAAACCCCCATGTAACTAATACAGTCTATAAAATATATATACAAATAAAAATATAATAGAAAATGACATCTTCAAGCCATATTGTGTGATAAGCGAAATAGGTTTGACGAGAGGCACAGTCCACTACAGCAATGAAAAGATTCCATGATTTTATACAATAAGAGCACGACACGATCGTTTCATACCCACGCGTGTGGGGTTAGTGTTATTACAATCAGCCAGGTGTGGGTACACCATACCATATGGCCAACCATTACGAAAAGTGTTTGTGCAAACAGCCGTTGGCGCAATGTCTGGTTGACAACGCCGGTATGCCGTTGATAACATACACCAGTTGCTGCAGTTTCTCGAATATGTGGATTTAATTGTGTAAAGGAGAATATTCACCATATCAAGTGTATTCCATCAATATAAGAAGCTTGATCCGAGACGTGATCCGAGAAATTCTATAAGCTCTAAATATAAGCTGTGTTCTTACAAACAAACAATTACACATATGTTATATTTGGGATTACACTTTCTTGGTAAAGTGCAAATTCTAGTACTTTTTTTAGTTGAGCCCCATACGGGATTCGAAACCACACCCTTAGAGTCAGGCGCCTAATCGCCAGCACACAAAGTCAGCCGCCTAACCGCTCAGCCACCGCGACTTCCACAAAAATGAAAGTCGGACAACTGGTAGTCTAGACTGCGGACTTTGAGTACCCCTCTGATAAGTGTTAATTGGCACGGCTCCCACGGCCGAAAGCTATGATTACACAATGCCATTTAGAAAGTGGTCAAATGTAACATATGTTATATTTGAGATTACACTTTCTTAGTAAAGTACAGATTCTATTACTTTTGGGTTTAGTCCCATCCGGGATTCGAACCCACGCCCTCAGAGTCAGGCGCCTAATCGCCAGCACATAAAGTCAGCCGCCTCACTGGCATTGTAGTATACGAAACGTACGTTTAGCCTCAGTATTGGAGGATCACCTTCAAACTCTTCTTTGATGGGCATTTTAGAAGTTCAGTTGATGAAGAATGATGACAATTTTTATGGATATACAACTTCTTTTATTCTTTTATACATCACTTGCTTGACAACGACATTAGAATCTATGTCGAAACGTCGCCCTTCACAGAATAAAAGAAGTTGTATATCCATCAAAATTGTCATCAATCTTCACCTTTAAACTCCGTGAAAAACAAATTTCAAAATTAGAAAATACATATTGGCTGAGATGTAATCCATTCATTATATGTTTGAGGTGGTACAGTCCATAGGATGAGTTTGCGGGCACAGGGGCGTGTCACGCTTAGAAACAGCGTTAGAAAGACATATAGGTATATAGACACCCAACCCTAGTACTATATAAAAGGATCCGTTTATATAGTACTAGGTTGGATCTATATACCTATGTGTCTTTCTAAAGCTTTTTCTAAGCGTGACACGCCCCTGTGTTTGCGGGAGTGCAACGGGTGGGTAGAAGGAGGTTCCCACGTGCCGCGTGCCGGGACCAAGGATACCCACTAACAATAAATGTTCAAACCTACTGCTGTTACGTTTGGATGTCGCGGAGTCAGCATCTTGTGTAACACCCCTGTTTCTGAATCCACTCTATTCCCTTAAAGTCGAGTTCCAGTCAGGATAATAACAGGCACGACCTTTAACGCATTTTAGTATGTCGTAATGGAGGAGTGAACAATCCACCTTCCTGTCTATGCACTAGTACTTCCGGTCTATCCACTAGTACTTCCGGTCTATCCATTAGCACCGCGGAGGGGGTATCTTTAAACATAAGGTATTTATATGGCATTGTGACTTTCAACTGCGAGTGAATCCGGTGAGTATGTTTTTAATCCTCATTCAAGAGGAACATCTCATTCTACGGACTGTAGTAATGAACAGGTTAATCGATCTCCAGTTGAGAAGACATTGGAGCAGTTCGAACAGTTCGCACGACGTCAAAATTAATCGTTTCAAACAACACGGTCATTGAACTCGTTCACGTGACGTGGGCCAGTCGACATTAGCACGAATTATGTTCAGTAACAACGATGTTTATTTAACCAGTATCTGTGCCCCCATGGGTAATATCATGAGATAGGCAGATTCCAGACTGTGGGTTGAATCATTGCTTCACTTTGTTACCTTAATAAAGACTAAGCTTTTTATGGGCTGCATCATGTCGTCAATAGGCTGAATAAAAACGATAATTTGCAAGGAGTTTGAATGTCAAACTGACTGGTAAAACCAAACTACACAAATATAGGCTATTATTTCTTTAATAACCTTCCTAATAATTTCAAAGAGGGTAGTAGTAGTAGTAGTAGTAGTAGTAGTAGTAGTAGTAGTTGTAGTGGCCAGTAGTAGTAGTTCGTGGTAGTTAGTAGCAGTAGTGCCAGGTATTAGTAGTAGTTATTAGTAGTAGCAGCAGCAGTAGCAGGAGCAAGAGTAGAAAGCGCAGTACGAGAGGTAGTAAAAGTAGAAGTAGTAGTAGTAGTAGTAGTAGTAGTAGTAGTAGTAGTCGTGGTGATGGTGGTGGTGGTGGTAGTAGCAGCATCAGCAGTTGTAGTTAGGAGCAGTAGTAGTAGTTGCAGTAGGAGGAGGAGCAAGAGTAGTAAAAGTAGTGGAGAGAAGTGTCGTTGGCCCTCTTCCATGAGTGGGGCAAATACCGTGAGCTGATGATATGGGGGAGGGAATAGTGATCATGTTGTTGATGATGGCGATGGTGATGGTGATGGTGATATAAGTAAAACGTAGAAATGTACAACGTAACATCCAACTCACCCTATAAGAATCCCAATTTTCGCCACAATATCCCTCCCGCAAAAGAATATCACCTCATCACCAAAATGACAATAATCATACTTAGTTCCATTTCTACCGGAGGTTGCGCATTGTTGATTCCCGCGCACATCGATAAGGAAAATTAACAGTAAAACCCGCCTCCTTGTTTAGCGTTAATACTCGCATAGTCTCGCTTCCGTTGTCAAGAGTCCGCAGAGGTAACGCTTTCACTCAACTGTTGCCAAGGACCCAATAACACATGTTGGATGTCGAAAATCGATGCTTTGACACGGTCATGCCATAGTTAATAGCTTTTATTGACAGAAAACATGAGTGACTTTTTGCACCGGACAGTGGTAAGTTTGGGACATTATGTCATGTTGGTCTGGAGCCACACAAGCAAGTGTGGAGTAGTGGCCTGAGCATCCACACTGGAATAAGAGAGTCTACATCACGGTTGGTAATAGATGTTGTCATTAAGCGTCCTTCTCCTCCGTCTGTTGTTAATGACTGTGATTTAGTAGCCGAAGTTTCGTGTTGTTATATCGGTTTGTAGCAACTTGCGCTGTTGATTCATAGTTTCTGATTTTTATGATTTGCCATCTGTTGTTGAGTTGTGTTTTATTGGACTGTATTAGGGAACAATGCCATTCAGAGTACCGCTCGATATAGCTATAGGTGAGGTGAGGTGAAATTGGATTTAACGTCGTGCTTGAGAATATTTCGCTCATATGACGACGTGCATGCGTGTGTATGTGTATGTGCGGCTGCTTGTACTAGCCCAGACTTAAGCTGGTTTAATAGTGCTAGCCCACTGAGATACCATGCTGCAGTGAAGCATGAATACCCAACTCAGACACATTATACTGACTCCGAGCCGACCAGTCTTTGTTGTACCCATTAATGCCGAGCGCCAGGCAGGGACCAACAAGTACCATATTTTAACGTCTTTTGGTATGACGCGGTCGGGGATCGAACCCGCGACCTTCCGCTCTCCGGGCGGACGCTCTAACCACTACACCACGGAGGCGGTCGATATAGCTATAGGGTGCAGCTTTACAGGGGATCGTTATATTGGGTATATGAGTGTTAGTGTTAGTGATAGAGACTCTCTCCGTTTGTTCGGTTGACATACTGGATATCCTAGAAAAAAGATATGTGATTAAGTGTTTGGTCCCTTTTTTTACACTGGAAAGAACTGTACTGAAGCAGTATCCGAGTAAGGTTCCCTGACACAGCAGCTTCGAAATATGTGATGTAGGGGTGGGTGCGAACACGGAACATTAAACAGCCTCACACTGTCTTGCAAAACTATCGTAATATGTTTTAAGCATATGTTGTTTACTTGCGAGCAACAGAAGCCCTGCATTCAAAGTAACGTAATATTTGTGTTTTTACGTCTATACCGCGTAGTCATGTATTATACAAAAGTTGCAAATGATGAGAGAATATGCTGTGCACAATATGAGTGAAATATAATCCAGAAGTCCTTATGAATCATTGAAATTCTAGTGTCCGCTGTCTTTATACTTTGAATATAGTAATGTAAGTACAGACAGTTATAACCTCGCAAGTCCAATATCAGTAATTCGAGAGATCTCGCATTCAGGACGATCTAGATATAAACTTTTTTAATAAAAAAGGGGATATTTTGTTATTCCGGACATTTGTTGACCCGGGTCGGAACCACCTGGATTAACGAGGTTGTCACCACTGATTCATAACCTAATATGGACGCCTTCACCTTTGGTATCAACAATTAACTTGCCCTGTTTCTTCTGGACACCCATTGTCCGGAAACTGTCCGTCGCTTTGGCAAGACGAAAGTATTTAATTTGAAGAAAATAATAAAATTAAAAAAATAAAATGTCATGGGGACAATCGAGTAGTAAGGCTGTTACAGTGGTACGTTGGTACAGTGTGTTGACATCATCCTAAGGCCCAAAATATAAACTTAATCGCCAATGGGTAGGCCCATGGGCATGAAAAATTACCTCTGGTAATCAACTGTCGACAGAAAATGTGTGTATGTATTTTGCTATTTACAAACCATCTCTGGGGTATTACAGCTGCTTCATTGAATGGTACAGGAATCATGTGTGAAAATGAGAATGTTCAGAAACATATGTCCTTTTCCATGTCTGGTTATCTAGGGAAACGACGGGTTTGATAAGTAAAAAAACTCAACACATCAAAGGTAATACCACACTGAAGTATCTTTTCACTGTTGATGTGAAACTGTAAGTGTTGATTTGACGTTGAATCTTGTGCTATATGACTCACATCTATGCACCTAAAAATGACATTAGAGTCAGTGAGTTTGTTAGACTGAACACCAAGTTCCATGTCCACAAACTCGGTTAAAATTGTAATTAGTCTCTTTTCCTTCTTACAGTCACGTGAACTATAACTAAAGCCATGATTGGAATCTGGACCCACCTTTACCTCCCTGTTGAGGAGATTTGCCATCACTTTACGTAATAAAAATAACATTGTGTTATCAGTTAATAACATGCGAGCATGACAGACACGCCCGGTTAGCTGCAGCCAATGTGCATGCAGATGTCTATTAGTGAACAGCCATTACAAGTAACAATGCACCCGCTCTGCATGCGATCAATGCCTCAATAGTTCTTTGGCAGAAGTAATTATACCAAACAGATCGTTTAGCCGACGTTCTTGTTATTCTGTGCCGTAAGTACGCATTAGAACGTATATTGGGAGCTTTTAGTGGGATTAGTTAGATTGTGTATTCATGTTTTGATTGTCCGGCTTCAAATGGAACTTGTACATGGTTGTGCTGTATTGCCTGGGCGTTTTGAATGTGTTAGAGCGATTGGTTTTCTTTGCAAATATACTGGAAATCGATAGTGGTCAGGCACCGAGTCATGAGAGATGACACGTATAGAGGATAGAGTGAGGATAGAGTAAGGATAGAGTGAGGAACAGAAAGGATATTGAAAAATACATAGTAATATACAGAAACCGTAACGACAGGGTCCGTGTGTTTGAGGGGAAGGTAGTGGCTGGAACGTTTATGAGAACCACTGTAAGATTTGCGGTCAGTGCTCACAACAGCAATGAATTCTAATGACGAGTCGAATAGTCCTACTTTTGTTAAATTTAATTAGTTTTCAAATAAACTGTTCATTAGGAAAAGGTACTGCTTTGGTAATACTGATAACAAAACATTTGAAAGAATAATATAAGTTACATATTTATCTTGTGTCATGTGCGTGTTTCTTTGTCTACTTGTCTTTGGGACATGTTATTATTCTTAGTTTACATTTTAAGCACATTGTGCTTAATGTGCCTTTTGTCATTTCCAACAGGTTTCTCCCTCTTTCTGGATGACACAGTGCTGCTTTGGATGGCGAGAAAACAATTCACTACCATAAGGTAATTTAGCTATTTCAAGTTGTCATGGAAACAAAACAAACCGTATTGCAAAGGTGTAGTGAACTGTCTGTATTGGGGACATTCTTGGATCGTTAACTGTGGGCATCCTGTTGAACTAATTTGGGAAATGTATCTAAAGGGTTTTACTTTCTTGTTTAGGTCGAGACTAGGTACATTGATATTAAATGACAAAGAAGAAAGCAAGCAACTTATTACTGCTGCTATATGATATTGCAGGATCCTTAAAACGCGTTGAATCGGCATTTAGTTACTCAGAGAGCGTTGCTGTCGGTGATCAGTGATCAATGGCTGTGACAGATCGGGGCCGGGGACATCAAGGGAATTACAGATCGATACACGATCATTAACATGGAATGCGGAACCAGTTTATTTCTAACGGTTAGCTCCGTTTCATATGTTCATATTTCATGATAAAACGCTTGACTTGGGCCGTTAACCGAAACACATGGGACCAGATCGAGGCTTGTAAGCAAAGGGCTAATGGTATATTCATTTCACACATTGTTGTAATGGTTTGATAGATCGTTGTAGCATTTGATCTGGTGTCCCTCATAATCCAAGGTGTCTGTTTTTGGTCTCACTCTGTTTAATATTTCATGAAAGAGTTATTGATTTTACCTCTTTAGGAAATTTGTAATAAACAAACCAATTATGATTACTCAAAGGAAGAAGGTTTGATCCAGACTACCAGTTGTCAGACTTCCAGTTGTGTGGAAGCCTGGGTGGCTGGGTTCGTTACATAGCTGATTCTGTGTGCTGGTGATCAGGTGTCTCACTCTAGGAGTGTTGGTTCTGTTCCGGCATGGGACAAAACCCAACTGACTGACTGACTGAATGTGGTTTTACGCTGCTCTGAGCAATATTCCAGCAACATCACGGCGGGGGACACCAGAAATGGGCTTCACAAACTGTACCCATGTGGGGATTCGAACCCGGGTCTTCGGCGTGACGAGCCAACGCTTTAACCACTAGGCTACCCCAAAACCCCACAAAGTGCTAGAATCTGTACTGCACATGTTCCACGCTGTTGTGATAACAGCTACCCAACCCGAGATGCTTTATTCACCAAGCTTAGAAAATTCAGAACATATCAAAGTCAAAGACTAATAAGTCTCAATTATACGTCCAAACAGATTCCGTTCATATTATTTGCAAAATAATGATGAAAATGACATGACTGATTCATTGAACATCAGTGATGAAGCCAGGTGTCCTGCTGCACAGGTGTCTCCTTCCACACACAATGTGTAACGAACAGTAGGTGTTAACCTGTTGCCTGACATCCGCTAACACACCTGTCCACGACGGCGGTCTGTGAACAATCCACGGGGGGAAGGTCAAATACCTTTCTTTGCTGAAACTGGAAAGTCCACACATCAGCGACACAATATATTGCAATTCCCAATTTTTACTTGTACCATTCCATTTTGTAACGTGACCAACTGAGTAGCTTTTGCATATGTTTAAGAAGAGTGTCACACGTGGAGCACGATACGCTCATCTTTTCGCGAGCATCTGGTATCAACACATTTTTGATAAACTGGTTCATAAAGACATAGATCTACTCATGATACCGTAGTAATTCTAGCAAAGATCTGGAATGGATGTGAACAGGGTTTTATCACTATTGTTAACACACAAGAAGCATATGCATCCCTTAACCTTTCAGCATCTCACGAAATTATTTACATACAAACACAATCCTCGGCCATTTGTAACCAATAACGATTGTTTCCTCAAGGGCAGCATGAAGAGATGAGATTGCAGCTATGGGTTTTCCTCACGGTCTCCCTAGCCACACTGACGTACCATATTAGCAAAGGTAAGTGTGAGCCACAAGGTCTTTTCCCCACCAGGTCATTACCCAATCTGCCATTTCCCCACCTGGACATTTCCCCACCAGGTCACTACCCCATATGCCATTTCCCCACCTGGACATTTCCCCATCTGCCATTTCCCCACCTGGACATTTCCCAACCAGGACATTTCCCCACCTGGACATTTCCCCACCTGGACATTTCCCCATCTGCCATTTCCCCACCTGGACATTTCCCCACATGGTCATTACCCCATATGCCATTTCCCCACCTGGACATTTCCCCATCTGCCATTTCCCCACCTGGACATTCCCCACATGGTCATTACCCCATATGCCATTTCCCCACCTGGACATTTCCCCATCTGCCATTTCCCCACCTGGACATTTCTCCATCTGCCATTTTCCCACCTGGACATTTCCCACCTGGACATTTCCCATATGCCATTTCCCCACCTGGACATTTCCCCATCTGCCATTTCCCACCTGGACATTCCCCACCTCATTACATCTGCCATTTCCCCAACTGGAACTTTTCCTGGACATTTCCCCACCAGGTCATTACCCCATATGCCATTTTCCCCACCTGGACATTTCCCCATATGCCATTTCCCCACCTGGACATTTCCCCATCTGCCATTTTCCCACCTGGACATTTCCCCACCTGGACATTTCCCCACCTGGACATTTCCCCATCTGCCATTTCCCCAACTGGGCATTTCCCCACCTGGACATTTCCCCACCAGGTCATTACCCCATATGCCATTTCCCCACCAGGTCATTACCCCATCTGCCATTTCCCCACCTGGACATTTCCCAATATGCCATTTCCCCACCTGGACATTTCCCCATCTGCCATTTCCCACCTGGACATTTCACCACCTGGACATTTCCCCACCAGGTCATTACCCCATCTGCCATTTCCCCACCTGGACATTTCCCCACCAGGTCATTACCCCATATGCCATTTCCCCACCTGGACATTTCCCCATCTGCCATTTCCCCACCTGGACATTTCCCCACCAGGTCATTACCCCATATGCCATTTCCCCACCTGGACATTTCCCCATATGCCATTTCCCCACCTGGACATTCCCCACATGGTCATTACCCCATCTGCCATTTCCCCACCCATTTTCCCACCTGGACATTTCCCCCATCTGCCATTTCCCCACCTGACATTTCCCCACCAGGACATTTCCCCACCTGGTCATTTCCCATATGCCATTTCCCCACCTGGACATTTCCCCATCTGCCATTTCCCCCCACCTGGACATTTCCCCCACCCCCATCTGCCATTTTTTTCCCACCTGGACATTTCCCCACCTGGACATTTCCCCCACCTGGACATTTCCCCACCTGGACATTTCCCCACCTGGCCATTTCCCCACCTGGACATTTCTGCCCCCACCTGGACATTTCCCCCCTGCCATTTCCCCACCTGGACATTTCCCCCTGGACATTTCCCCATCTGCCATTTCCCCACCTGGACATTTCCCCACATGGTCATTACCCCATATGCCATTTCCCCACCTGGACATTTCCCAATCTGCCATTTCCCCACCTGGACATTTCCCCATCTGCCATTTTTCCCACCTGGACATTTCCCCATCTGCCATTTCCCCACCTGGACATTTCCCCATCTGCCATTTCCCCACCTGGGCATTTCCCCACCAGGTCACTACCCGATCTGCCATTTCCCCACCTGGCCATTTCCCCACCAGGTCATTACCCCATCTGCTATTTCCCAACCTGGACATTTCCCCACCTGGACATTTCCCCACCTGGCCATTTCCCCACCAGGTCATTACCCCATCTGCCATTTCCCCACCTGGACATTTCCCCACCAGGTCATTACCCCATATGCCATTTCCCCACCTGGACATTTCCCCATCTGCCATTTCCCCACCTGGACATTTCCCCATCTGCCATTTTTCCCACCTGGACATTTCCCCATCTGCCCCCACCTGGACATTACCCAATCTGCCATTTCCCTACCTGGCCATTTCCCCACCAGGTCATTACCCCATCTGCTATTTCCCAACCTGGACATTTCCCCACCTGGACATTTCCCCACCTGGACATTTCCCCACCTGGACATTTCCCTACCTGGACATTTCCCCACCCAAGAATACTATTGCCTGGACATTTCTCCACCTCTTTGAAGACACCTCCCAAAATTGATGAGTTACTTAGTGCATCTGAAGGTTTTGTGTGGAAAGAAGTGTGTTTCTAACGATTACTGATCATTAGTTGAGAAATTACATCTGAAACTTCCTACTTTTAACTGAGACTTTGAGATGTTGGAGTGTAGGGATTTAGAATATGAAAGTAAAGATTACACGCATTTAACATCTCACTGTAAACAATATGAAAATAAAATAAAATTGTGTTGTGTTCCATCGAAGTGCTCTCAATAACCAAATGTATTAACTCAGTTGCCAAGAAAATCCAGTTACCTGAATATTAATGAATGAAATGTATTTTACACTACTTCCTGTTTATTCATTCTTATATTTGAGTGAAATAACAGACACAAACGGGAAGGTGGGGAAATGACTGGCCAAATATATATTTGGGTCGGGTATTGTCGGGTGGGGAAATGGTAGGTTGGGAACTGACTTGGGAAATAACTGTATCCCGTTGGAAATTACCAAGTTTTCAAAGGGTCTCTTCTTCCCACTGGAAAAGTTAGATGTTTAAGTTTTTGAAAACATTTAAATACTCGTATGACAAGTTGCAAATGGTGACAGCTAACCCTTTCTTCTTCCCTTTGGTTTACACGTATTGGTGTTGTCTCATGAGCAATGACGAAGGTCGATATTACTTTATTTGCGGACCTGAAGTGCGTCTTAGTTCCAAGACACTGTCATGTATTTTTGCCTTTTTTTCATGTACATTTTATTCTAATCTAAGCCACCAAGCTACCTGAGAGATATTGCTATCTGCCTCGTTGACACATATTACCGTTATAAAAGTGATGAAATTCATAATATTTTGTCCTCATTTCCTCATTGAGTGGATAAATGATGAAGGGTTTATAAATCAACACCCACTTGCAATTGTTATAAGACCAATGTAGGTGGATGCTGCAGCAGAATCGGTAGATTAATAATGCCCCATGCAATGCCCGTGTCCTACTTCAGATGTCGAAATCAGTAAGTTTGCATCCTTTATCGTGACCTTTATAGTGTCTTCGTTCCAGTGAAGTGTTGCTAACATGACCACTTCAGATCCTTTGTAATGCCTGGTTAATTTCATTTCCTAACGTGTTGTAAACGTGGTGAGTTTGTATAATGCCAGTACCGTACTTTCAGTGAAGTGTTGTCTGAACGAAGCGGAAACTCTCACAGCACAGCCCTACCCACAAGGCATTGTGTACCCCAACATGGAATCTCTCAGAAACGGGTAGGTGAAAACACCCGCTGACTGAAGCAATGAAGTACGTACTGTCCTGAAGAACTCATAGATTGAGACCTAAATGTGTAATAAAGGAGGATCAATTATAAAATATCTCGAAAAAATAAAATGACCACATCAATGAGCCACTAGCAGCCCAACTATGAAATAATCATTGTACGCACCACCAGACAAGTAGTTGTCTTGGCACCACTAGGACACCACCTAGGTAGATATTACTCCACCATCATCACGTATACAGTTTATTGAATACAAAATACGTGTGTTTCAATTGACATCATCCTTCCAGTGCTCCGCAGAGGTGTTCCTGGATGATATTCTCGCAGAGGGATCATGACGTCATCCGGTTCCACATCACTGATTGGTTCGGCCCCGCCTCCCATAGCTGTACAAGAGACTATGTTGTTGTAAAGGATGGTACGGAGAGCTGTTTGTGTCATCTGTTTTTACAATTGCGAAATATTCATTTAGAATACATACTTTAGAAAAGGACGACACTTTTGTGGGATTTTTGTTAAAGCTACTCCATGCATATCAGAATGTGTGATCAGTAACACAGTACATGGGAAGAAAAATGATGTGGAAACAAAAGTGTTGAAAATCGCCAAGGAGAACAAAACAATGTAGTCTGCTTACCTGGTTTTATAATTAACAGAGGTCCTCCCCTCCAACAACTGTAGAAATGCTATATGGGTGAGATTTAGGGTGATACGGTGGTTTTGGTACAAGTGTACTACTTCCTCTGCAACAAGGCATGGGATCGGGGATACAGGTATTTTCAGAACAACCATATTGCCCAAAGAAGGTTTTAGGTCTCTAATACGTCTTGGCAATTTACTTTTCCAACAGACCGCGATCACCCGGGTTTGATCTGGTTCCACCTCAGCAAGCAAACCTTATTATGCCACTAACAAGATCTGTTGCCAGTTCCATTGCCTTCGTTAATGATTGTCATGATGTCTATCACTAAATGGTGGGATCCAGACTTGAGTATTTACGGACAGAATATTGCTGAGTGCCGCATTCCTAGTAATTTCTCGCCCATATTTTTTCACTTCACATAACGGTATGGCCCTACGACACAATACTTTACGATGCAAATGCGGTGATTTGAACATAGAGTAGCAAGTACGGTTAAACGTCATACAATCACCTTCAGTATGTCAAGACAAATTGTGTTTAGTTTCCGAACGTATCGAGTTAACCGCACTTCCAATTACTGTCTGATATGTTTATGCCAGTGTTGAAGAGATATGTATGCCGCACACGTCTTGTTGACATACGCGACAACGTAATCAGCTGATCGTGTATCTATTACTCTTGTCCCTGGTAATGTTCACAACCCACGTCATGCAACCCGCCATATGTCAACAGTTGATGTAAGGAGATATTTGGGTAGAACTGCAAACAGAACATCGAACAATGGCCAGTAATTATTATGATCAATAAATGTCTAGCGTAAGAGTGTTGTTAAATGATTACAGCATCTCAGATTGTTTGATTAATGATCCGCGGTACGGAATGGTTGACCGGCGCAGCGTGGACCTTAGATTAGCTGCACAAAGCAATTGTGTTACACACAGATAACATCATGACGGGGTCAGTCTGCGTTGGTAATACCTCACTTTACACAAAGTTACGCTTCATGTAAACTTACGTCGTCTTGGAAAGCCTGTTACGTTGTCAAGTTAGAAAGACGTCCCAGGAGAATTTCCTGATGTGTGTAACCTGGATATATATATAAACTAGAACCAGACCCTTATTGTGATGGCTCAAAAAGGAGATGTAAACATGGAAGTGAATTTGGGTTCATAATTGTATAAAGCATCAGATTTGCCAAGAAATCAACGCGTAAGTATTATTTTCATAGCGTGGACTGCGATTGTCTTTATATACTCATGTCAATAATGGTTGTCACACCCCTCCCCACCCCAACACCCCCACCCCACACACCCTCTCCAATTAAAACAAATGAAGGGGGTGACAACCATTATTGGCATGAGTATAGCACAGAATATAATGCATTATACGGCCAGTGGGGAGATCATGTTATTGTGCTTTGCAGTCAGTAACATTACATGTATTAAAAATACATTACGATATCTTAGATCCACGACAGATTGGAAAATAGGTTACGACGGTGTATGTCCTTATGATACTTTCACGATACTCATACTCATATCGTTTCGAAAACCTATAGCCATGCAAACAATCGAGGAAAAACAGAATAAAATGAAATTTAATCAGCCGGGATAAATAGAAATGAATTCCGAACGAGAGTATGTTTTCCTTGACGTTTTCGTTTGCTATTAATGATGTACACAAAAGCTATTGTTCATGTTCTCAGTGTAAAATGTTGAACGTCACAAAACAAATATGAAAAGAAACGCTAACAGTATATAGTATTATGACTGTACATCTGTCCCGACAGGACCCAGCCCTCTGAGCCCCAGCCTGAGGGTGGTGTGCGGGGACACACATTTCAAGGGAAACGTCACCTCGACTTCCGGGTCCATCTATATCCAGTTCCACGTGCAAGTGGAAGATGCCAGTAGAGGCTTCGCACTGGAGTACTGGAGTGTCGACAACAGTAGGTAGCACTAGGAGTTGTTCGTCCTTTCAGATTGCACAGACTGTGCTTTAATGCATGTCGGTATAACTTTACTTTGAAACTGTTAAGGAAAACTTTGTTGCACATATGTTGTGCAACAGTCTCTACTTGAGCACACCTTCAACACTTTAGCTGGGACGTTCGAGAGGTCGTCAGCTCGCTACACTTCACGATCCCCGACAGACATGGACTCCAATCAGGTCACGGATGACAGATCTTACCACTGTCGGTTCGTCATTATACCGCCAAAACTAATTCCAAAATTATAAGAAATCAGAAAAGCCTGTACCCTACACCTAGGACATTACTTCCTACACCAAACACGCTTCACTTAACACCCATGACGCTATTATACTTCACCTTATACCTAAACCATATACCCTACACTCAGCACAGGTACCCTATACCTAGGCCATTACATCCTACACCTTACACCCTACCCTACACCTTACACCCTACCCTACACCCAACACCTTGGACACTATTTTACTTCACCTTATACCCTTCATTCGGCACCCGGCCCCCTATACCAAGGGTATTACTTTCTACACCTTACACCCTACCCTACACCCAACACCTTGGACACTATTTTACTTCACCTTATACCCTGCATTCAGCACCCGGCCCCTATACCAAGGGTATTACTTTCTACACCTTACACCCTACCCTACACCCAACACCTTGGACACTATTTTACTTCACCTTATACCCTGCATTCAGCACCCGGCCCCCTATACCAAGGGTATTACTTTCTACACCTTACACCCTACCCTACACCCAACACCTTGGACACTATTTTACTTCACCTTATACCCTGCATTCAGCACCCAACACCCGGCCCCTATACCAAGGGTATTACTTTCTACACCTTTCTACACCTTACACCCTTACACCCTACCCTACACCCAACACCTTGGACACTATTTTACTTCACCTTATACCCTGCATTCAGCACCCGGCCCCTATACCAAGGGTATTACTTTCTACACCTTACACCCTACCCTACACCCAACACCTTGGACACTATTTTTACTTCACCTTATACCCTTCATTCGGCACCCGGCCCCCTATACCAAGGGCATTACTTCCTACACCTTACACCCTACCCTACACCCAACACCTTGGACACTATTTACTTCACCTTATACCCTGCATTCAGCACCCGACCCCCTATACCAAGGATATTACTTTCTACACCTTACACCCTACCCTACACCCAATACCTAGGACACTATTTTACTTCACCTTATACCCTGCATTCAGCACCCGGCCCCCTATACCAAGGGTATTACTTTCTACACCTTACACCCTACCCTACACCCAACACCTTGGACACTATTTTACTTCACCTTATACCCTGCATTCAGCACCCGGCCCCTATACCAAGGGTATTACTTTCTACACCTTACACCCTACCCTACACCCAACACCTTGGACACTATTTTACTTCACCTTATACCCTGCATTCAGCACCCGACCCCCTATACCAAGGGTATTACTTCCTACACCTTACACCCTACGCTACTCCCTACACTGCACCCTACACCCAATACCTAGGACACTATTTTACTTCACCTTACATCCTATACCATACACGCTGCACCTACACTCAGCAACCTACTTTTAACACCCCACACTTTGGACATTACTCCCTACACCATTAGATAAAAAGACGATAAGGATCATGAGTTCGACTTTTTATATTAATGAGTGCAGCTGCATGTGGCATGTCGATTGCAAGTGACCTACTGAATCTGGTTACCCAGTATTCCCTGCGGTACAGATTCTGCTGCTGATACGTGGTGAAATATCCACGTCAATCAGTGTAACAACGAGTAAAGTCCATTGAATCTGTATGCACCATTCAAACAGCGGATATTACCATGTATTGATATTTTCACGAAACGAAAACACTTGTCACCAAAATGACTGATATGAAATTAATTCATGCTTATTGCGGCTAATATTTTTTAGTCTTCTCTATCAGTTGTCTTTTTATTTTCACTTGAAATGGGACTTACCATAAACAATAGATAATATCAAGGGGAACTACAGTCCTTGGGACTAAAGTCTTCTTCTCATGTGTTGTTTTTGCTGTTCTGACTAGAAGAGGTTGTTTCTTATCATATCGGGGTTTTTTCACTTTCACTTTGCAACCTTTTTTGGAAATCCTAGCTGCTCCATACATTTGTTGTATGGTTCATTCTTTTCTTCTAGTCCGTTAATATAACGCTCAGTAATTATTGGGCGGTGGGGTAGCCTAGTGGTTAAAGCGGTCGCTCGTCACGCCGAAGACCCGGGTTCGATCCCTACATGGGTACAACGTGTGAAGCCCATTTCTGGTGTCCCCCCGCTCTGATATTACAGGAATATTGCTAAACGCGGTGTAAAACTAAACTCACTCACTCAGTAATTATTGTATTAGCTTTTGTTTATTAATGGAGCCTTTCATATAGGATTTTCACATCTACCACTCTTTAACATAGACACGTGATTGTCGTAGATCCTAAAGATTGACACAGAGTTACCACTGTTACAGCTCTCATGGTTTAACATACCAGAGATTTGAGTGCCGTTTATCCAATAGTTTAACATAGACATTGTTGCATCTATCACTTTAACACAGACATACGACTGTTTCAGATGCTAAAGTTGAATATGGACGTACACTTGTTGCATCTCTCATAGTTTAACATACCAGACATATGGTCGTCGTTTATCCTACTGTTTGTCATACACATTCGGGTTTTTTTTGTAGATACGACTGTTGTTAGGTTGATCTCATACTTTCAGACTTGTGTATGATTGTCGTAAATCTATGTTATGCATGATAATCGACACATATTTTACCTTTAACATTTTCGCGAACACCTGGTGTTATCTTTGAATCTTACGAATTATTTTTCACCGCTATATTTGATTTTTACGCTCAATGGAATCTATTTAAGCACACAGTCTGGATTGTTTACTCACTGGCGAGGACGTTTGCCGTCGTTTGGTATTAGCATTGTTGTGGCTCTGGTAGTTAGTCGAATCGCTACGAACGTTTTGTGGAAAGCACCCACACTGTACCAGAAAATCACAAACATCAGTTCAACAAGAGCACGTAGTATTGCGTCAATACACATGCTTTATTGGCCGCCGGTGTTCCAAGTCAAACGTTAAATGTGTATCAGTTTGACAGGCAAAATTGCCACAGTCGTTTACGTTGGTTATCAAGCGTGACGTCTTTAATTGATATGCAGACTTCAGTAGCTCCGCGCAGCGATGTCACGTTAACTATTTTAAACATAACAAATCTGTCAAGCGCTGCTGTGAAGCTTTCCTCTAAAATACCGTTTCGCTAATGAACTTATTGTTTTTCAATATGCCTTCTTGTCAAGATCTAAGCGTCTTTCGGAACTTTCAGCAACCAAAAGTAGAATTTTGTAGCTAATCTTGCGACCGTAAGTCGAAGAAAACAGGAAGGAACGATAATGCTGTGCCATGACAAAATGGACCAACCGTTTCAACTACTGAATGAAACTGAATGTGAACCCTACACTTCCTCACGTCAATCCCCTGTTTTAAGTTATGTCCCTTAGATGTGACAGAATCATATGATCGTGGTTCCTGGACACTGTTTCGCAATTAGGATCCCATTAATCTGTTTGACAAGGTCATTTCCGGGCACATTCACCAAAGTATCCCATTGTAGGTTAGGTTTTTCCTCACATTGAGCTAAATAAAACTGAAATGCCCTTTTATAGAGGAATTAAACCAAACACTTTATTTCATGTTGTCAAATTCAGTGTTTCATACATACTTTCTCATCATTACGTTCACAGCCCCCATCATGAACACACCCCCAGTATACACCACAGCCAACTACATCCTCATCGTCGTCAGTCTGGCCGTTACAGCGACGTTCGTCGGTGCACTGACGTACCTGTTCTACCGTGAGAAGTCCAGAGAAAGAGCGGTCAAGGCCGGCAAAATGAAGCAGATGTTACAACGCAGAAGACAAGGCATCAGCGGTATATCGGGGCTGGAAGATTCTGGTGTTGAACAGGGAGATGATTTCGAAACAAGTAAAACGGATGTAACGTCATTTGTTGAAACACCGTCCCCAGTCTCGAGTAATTGGAAAGTGTGAAATCTGTGTTTGTACCGAATGCACTATTTTTGCTAAATCAGCATTATACAAACAAAAGTCAGAAAAAAACCATTATGAATTGTCTGACGCCGTGCCTTCTGTGGGTACCAGAATTTCAAAAACTAACGACAAAGGACTTTCGTCTTATGTGGTAACTATGTGTCTGAATACCTTGTTGGATGGAAACAAAGAATTAGTTTATGGAAGGATCTTCACGTATTGGTTACAAAGCTGTGTAGATCATTTCCTTATTTTCATATTAATTACACTAATCAAAGCAGGAGCAGAGCAATAGTCCAACAGTCCAATGACAATCTGTGCTATAATAAGCATACTGTTCAAACTGGCGTTCAGAAATATTGCCTTTAGTTATCAATCAACGTCAATATGCATGCTTTCATTGGGTGACAAGGCGTGTATTACAGTTGACACACTGACACATGGAGGCGAGGAGAGAGCGAGTGAGTGAGTTTAGTTTATACGCCGCACTATATTGCTGCGGTCTGTAAATAATCGAGTCTGGACCAGACAATCCAGGGATCAACAGCATGAGCATCGATCTGCGCAATTGGGAACCAATGACATGTGTCAATCAAGTCAGCGAGCCTGACCACCCGATCCCGTTAGTCGCCTGTTACGACAAGCATGGGTTACTGAAGATCAATATTCTAACCCGGATCGTCTCGGGTCCATGGAGGCGAGGAACGGTCATGCTACAACAGTACTTGGTCTGCACTGGAAGGTTAGAACTATGGTTGATTGGTTTGTTGTTAAACGCCGCACTAAGCTATATGGCAACGGTCTGTAAATAATCGAGTCTGGACCAGACAATCCCGTGATCAATATCATGAGCATCGGTCTACGCAATCGGGATACGATAACATGTGTCAACCAAGTCAGCGCTGCGAGCCTGACCGCCCGAACCCGTTAGTCGCCTCTTACGACAAGCATGGGTTACTAAAGACCAATTCTAACCCGGATCTTCACGGGTACTTATGAGTGAGTGAGTGAGTGAGTGTGGTTTTCACGCCGCTTTTAGCAATATTGCGGCAAAGTCACGGCGGGGGACATTTTTAGAAATGGGCTTCACACATTGTCCTTATGTGGAGAATCGAACCAGGGTCTTCGGCGTGACAAGCCAACGCTTTATCCACTGGGACTACCCCACCGCCCCCACGGGAAGTTAAAACTATGACAAAAATATGCATGGCATGTGTTCCCATTAAAACAAATGTGTACACGGAAAATTATTGTGAGCATTTTATAGAATGTTAATTTCATATTATGAAAGATACGAATTTTCTGTCTTCTCTGGTGTTTCTCCGTTTTCCAATGACGATATATAATTTGATTTCTTTCCTTTCGCTTTACTCGTTTTTCTGCAAAATTTATTTTGATAATATCCATGTAGCACTGACCAGTGTAAGCCAAGCAAGCTTTATGAGATGTTTGAAATTTCCTACCAAACTGGGAGGCGATGCAGAAATACAAATAACTGAACTGATGTGTTTGCTTCCATCTTAATTGACGAAATATAGTTGAAATTCAAACAAAGAAAGTGTTGTCAAGTCATTTCGTCTGCATGAAAATAGTTTAGCTTGCGTTAAATCCAATCCTGACGTATGTTCCATTCGATATTGTCATCATGTTTCATTTGATATATCTTCCATTCTGTATGGTGAAGCCATAACCTTCTACTGAGAGTATGAATACTCCCTGGAGATAACTGAGATAGTCCACGGCCACAATCACATTTCTGGATACATTTTATCTTTTATTCACAAATCGAGTGTTAAATAGTGTCATCGTGCTTTTTGAACGGAAAAACAATCCATATTAAAAAAATAGTATGTAAGGTACAGAAGCTCATCTTTATTAAGGGATAGAAGGAATGAGTATGGAGGATATGTTAAGCCTCTCATTTATCCACAGACCATACAATCCAGTACTTGCATTTCTTAAAGGGATTTTGTCTACTTTTGTTTGTTGTCAACGCGTCAGTCAACAAATGTCCAGCTCTATAAGAATTAATGATGGTCTGTAAATGACTGAATATTGGCAGGATTAAGCGCTGGATGACATTATGTGCAAATCCTAATTGTTGCATTATCTTCATACTAAATCTCAACGTATTGGGAAGAGTGAGTGAGTTTAGTTTTACGCCGCATTTAGCAATATCCCAGCAATGTCACGGCGGGGAACACCAGAAATGGGCTTCACACGACGGTCGTATTGGGAACAAAAGGTAGTTGTCAGATAATTCAATAAAATGTGGTCTTCATCTTCAAAGCTGTCTCAAAATAATGATTTCACAAGAAAAATATTTGTAACGAGGGACATGTAGAACGTGTGTTCTATTAACAAAATAATTCCCATAATTTCAGAAGATTTGGAGGAGGTTTTAAACGCTGACCAAAACCCCCTGACATAAGCTCACTCTGACCATGTAAATGTTGGCATGATCACCTTCCACATTGACACTTTCGCCAACTAGAGACTGACTGGTATTATCCTAGTTTAGTAGACGTTTGTCGAAAAGCTTCTCCATACTCGTAGCTGCTATGACTTAATCGTTCGAATCCAAATGATCTTTCCTCCTCTTTGGAAACAGGCCGACGTTTGACAGAGTTTGTGCAAAACGCACAACGCGGATGGAAGGGTACAATGTTTTTCAAATAACTTCTCTTTTTCTTTTTTTTCATACCACAATAGTGAGTGACTGAGCTTAGTTTTACGCCGCACTCAGCAATATTCCAGCTATATGGCAGCGGTCTGTAAATAATCGAGTCTGGACCAGGCAATCCAGTGATCAACAGCATGAGCATCGATCTGCGCAATCATACCACAATAACCTCAGTGAGTGAGTGAATATGGATTTACGCTGCTTTTAGCAATATCACGGTGACACCATGGGGTGGGTATTACCTTTTTCTAACATACCTCTATGATATCACGTGATGTCTACAACAAAAGATTTCCTTGCTACACAATTCCTTCTCAGGCTAAAAACTTATCAATAAGCCCTCGCCAATAACTAGGAAGGAAAAGAGACTGGACACAACAACCATCTCCGAGTATAAAGGGCAGATGTGGTTAAATCCAAGATACCTCAATTCTAATCATGATCTCTTTTTGCAAAGAGAGATGGCCATGTCAACCACCACCAACTTCCTGCACTGTCTACTGAATGCACAACCAGAACACAAAAGATCAACAGAAATTGGCACATTTTATTACAAAATCAAAATATACATAACCCAAAAGTCGATACAAATAAACTATTACATACTCAGCTTCTTTGTTACTTATGTAGGTGAGTATAAACACTTAGCAAGTGATTCCCCTAGCCATTATGTTGGCTGATAAAACTGTTTTAAAGCATTATATTTCCATGAACCAAAACTAGACTATGCCCTGCAATGACTGAGTTTGGTTTTACGCCGCTTTTAGCAATATTCCAGCAACATCACAGCGGGGGACACCAGAAATGGGCTTCACACATTGTGCCCATGTGGGGATTCGAACCCGGGTCTTCGACGTGATGTGCCAACGCTTTAACCATTAGGCTACCCTACCGCCCCTGATGCCCTGCAATGAACTAATTTTTCTCGATTTGTTGACAATAGGAATAGGCAGGTCTTGCGTGGCATTATTGCACAGAAACAACAACTCTGATATCATATTGTATTTCTTATAAAGACATTGCCAAAGCTACAATCAGCAGTTAGTGAAGTGGTTTTCTATTGTTGACATATTAGAAGAATTGGTTTCATCATGAAATCATAAACATGAAAAACAGTGAGCAGAATTTCTTGGGAAAATCTGGGTATGCATAAGCAGTTTTTAAATGTATAATACCATAAATGAACAAACAGACCAATTTTCATGTATTGTTAGTAATTTGAAAACACTATGGCATATGTCTAACCAAATGTGAAAGTTTCTACCATATCTGACTAACCCCCGCACTACCACCTGGCCCCAGAGACAATTACACAACTTTCAGATTTGCTTGGAAATCACTTATAAACGAACTTGATAAAAGAAAATAACATTAACATCAACACTGACAAGAAAATGTAATTTTTAGAGTAAAATTGATATTTTATACTTATCCTGACTCATGCTCTTTTGCTTGTCTTCTTCTTCTTGCGAACATAGTGGAACACTTGTATCTCCTTATTTGAAGCTCCCTTCAAAATAAAATCACTAATTGGTACTCACCACGAGTTGCTCCCCTTTGTCTCCCCTGGCGGGAAAAGGTGTCGCCACCCTCTGGCCATGTGCTCCACTCTCTCCTGATTTTTGCTTGAGCCCAACACTTGAATTTACAGGGAAATCCAAAGTGTTATGTGGGGAGGATGGGAGGGCTAACCTCATGAGTCAGGATAAGTATAAAATATCAATTTTACTCTAAAAATTACATATTTTTCCTTATCCTGACTCATGCTCTTTTGCTTGTAGCATCCTACGGAACGGAGGTGGGTAACAGAATACTTTGGATTTATAATTAGTGATTTTGTATAGATATACTGTAATATCCCCTACGGGAACTTCATGAAGTCTTAGATTTAGGATGTATCCTGTATAAAGAAAACCATAGGTTATATAAAGCCATTAAAGGGGAATTACATTATGAATATATTGAACAATACATATAAATTATATATATATATATATATAGGTGACTCTGATAGAGGCACTGAAATTGACTATATCCAAGTATATGCTTAAGGTAGAATACTTAAGCTGAACATATATACATAGCCCTAAAACTCCTTAGAGTTATAAGCTAGATGAGTATGTATAAAATACATATTAATCTTGTGAGGCTAATATTTTAACGCCTACGAGGGACTGTCAGTTGCTGAGCGAGGACCAGTGGTCCGAAATGGTGAATGCCAGAGACATCTTCTGTAGTGATGTCTCTTAGGTAGTGATTAGCAAATACCATGTTAGATTTCCAATAGCATCCTTCCATAATCGTGTTCAAGGAACAGTTACCGTGTAGGGCGAGGGTAGAGGCCAGTGCCCTGATCTCATGTGGATTTGATGCTGTTGGTGGGTCCAAGCCTGCTGCCTTGTAGGCACGGAGAATGACAGTCCTTATCCAAATAGATATTGTGGTCCGTGACACTTCTGTTTGATTCGTAGGCGATAATGGGATGAATAAACGTTTGAGAAATCTTCTCCTTGTTTTGGATCGTCGTAAATAAACTTTGAGCGCTCTTACCGGACACAGTGATAGGTCTTGTGTATCTTGTGATCCGAGAATAGAGGATAGCGCCGGGATGTGGAATAATCTGTCTGGTTGACCTGGCAGTTGATTCTTTGCAATGAAATCCCATCTTAATCCGAGGTGCGCTGTGTTATGATTGTCATCAAACTGTATCCTCTCGTAATCCAGAGCGTGAATTTCAGACATTCTTGCTGCTGTGGCTAGCGATAGCAGAAACAATGTTTTCTGTGAGAGAAATTCAAAGTTTGTCGATTCCAAGGGTTCATAGACCTCACTCGTGAGGTGTTGTAACACT